GAGGAAGCAGCAGAGGCAGCAGCTCCTTTGATAAGCAGCTTCCTGAACACTTTCAAACCCTGGTGTTAGATCGACACACACGGCGCCTGCGGGTTTGTGCCGAGACCGACGGAGCCCATGCCACAGGGCAGCAGGTAGGCAGCCCCCAGCCCACCATGGCACCCGCTGCAGAGGGGACCCCGCCAGGCAGAGCTGGGCCCTGGCACCCACGGGCAGTGGGCATGGTGCTTCACTGATGGGCAACCCGGGCAGGGCTGGGATGCTGGGCAGGGTGATGGGGACACTCCCTGCAAGTGTCAGCAGCTGGGGCTCTTCCCAGAGGCCTCCTGCTTGCCAGGGTCTTGGCTGGGGCATCTTCCAGGTGTTTCCTGGCTAGTGTGTGCTCCTGGAGAGCAGCTGCTCTTGCTCTGTCTGGACACCCTGGCAGCACAGGCCCCCCCATGGTGCCCTGTGTGGGGCATGGGGATGGTGCACATGGCAGCGATAGTATTGCCACCCCCAGAAATGCCACTGGGCAGCAGGGAGTGATGGAGAACAGCTCCTGCCCCAGCCGTGTTCCCAGACAGCATGGTCACCGCATGGACCAAGTTCTCTACAGGACCTCCCTGAACTGATGCAGTACCCGGGATCCAACTCTTTGCCCATCAAGAGCTCTGACTCCACAGCATCTCTGGTCCCTTTGGGTCCATCTCCTCCTCATGGAGGGATCTGGGGATGAGAAGGAGCCCCATGATGCCAAGGTGCTGCCTGAACCATGAAGAGCTCTGCCCAGAGGTGAACCAGCATCACCCACATCTCCCCACCCCTATCAGGGGATGTCCCAGGGCTGGTGGTGGTGCAGGCTTGGCACCCTCTTCCAGCTGGGCTACCCCATCGCCTCTTGCTCAATCCCACAGATATAACAGTTTCCTCTTGATGGTTGCTGAAACCTGTGGGATGGAGAAGGCTGTCCCAGGGTCATCTCTCCCTCACCAGAGACATAAGGCTGTTGAGGGTGCCTGGCCTTGTGTCTCCCAACAAGCAGGAGCTGGCCAGGTTATTTGTGGTGCCTACAGCTCACCTCGTCTCCCCTGTCGAATGCTGCTGTGCTCATGAGGGTCTCAGCTCTCCCTCCTCTCCACCGTGTCCCCAGGCTGAAGCAGACATGCCAGGGAACAGTTGGCAATACATGGCAGCATGTGCTTCCCATGGAGGTGGAGAGCATCTTGGGGTACCCCAAAATCAGATCATAATCTGGCAACACAGGGTGTGGGTGTCCTCTGTTCCGCAGAAGCAGGTGGCCGTTGCTGCTGTGCCGAGGGTCACCATTGGGTGCCTGTGTGGGCTGCAGTGCTGTGGGCATGCCAGAGGGTGAATGTGCTGGGAGGTCTCCCTATGCCAGGGCAGCTGAGGACCCCAAACCTGTCCCTTGCTCAGGGACTGTCTGTCAGGAGGTCCACCCAGCCTCATGGTATCTCTCAAATCTGCCTTGTCTTTTCCAGCTGCTTCTCCTCCGATGGCTCTTTGATTTCCCAGGAGCTGAGGGCCCCCCGTGTCCACTCCCCGTGCTTCAGGACGAGGGCTTTGTGGTTGCCACAGCATGGTACAAGCCTGCTTGGTGTGCTCCAGAGTTCATAACGGCAGCCTGACAGCCCAGGCAGCCAGGGCAGACATGGACAAGACGGACAAGCCCAGTCCCTCTGCCAAGAAGCACGTGCGACTTCAAGAGAGGTGAGCATGGCTGGACAGTGCCTGCAGCCCAGACCCTGTGCTGCCCATCTCAGCATAAATGGCAAGTACCCAAGGTACTGCTCATCCTCAGACCTTGGGCTCCCCCAAACTTCCTTCCCTGAGCCCAGCCCTGCCGGCCTGCTGCCTGCTGACTTTTGCAGATGCCAGAGCTGAGCATGGAGGAGCCCTGACCCCCTCCAGCCCAGCCTGGGCCAAACCTAGATACCGTCCTTTGGGGACATTCCAGCAAAAAGGCTGGAATGACCAGTTAGTTCCTTGTTCCTCAACCCTTCTGGGGTCTCTGCCTGATCCCTTTCTTCATCTCATGTTATTCCCTGCCTGACTTTTGCGCGGTGTGGGGCAGTTTTAACTGACGATGAAGTAGGATGGGCTGCCTTCATGTCCCGAGATGGCAGAGCGTCAGACAGGGATCCCTTTGCCTCGCAGGAGGGGCTCCAATGTGTCGCTGATGCTGGACATGAGCTCTCTGGGGAGCGTGGAGCCTATTCAGCCTGTCTGTACACCTCGAGACATCACTCTGAAGTTCCTGAGGACATCCAGCCATGTGCTGAGGAGAGAGGAGCTCCAGCAACGCGCCCAGAGCCTGACACAGCTCCAGGAGGAGTTTTCGGTACGATACTCCCCTCCCCTGTCCCACCTCATACAAGGGCTGGCAGTGGGGGGGACAGTCAGGGATGGACATCTCCAAGGCAGGCTGCAAGTCCAGCTGTGCCGCACAGCGCCGGTGGCAGGGAAGGTGATGTGGGCAAACAGAGGTGAGGGGAGCCCTGGATATCCCCTGGCTGCCTGCTCCCTGGTGCACACAAATCCCCCTTGTGTCCCTGGAAAGCCTGACCCCGCGCTCCCATGCCAAGTTCTTCTCCCAAGCTGGCCTCTCTGGAAGGTGTCCCACTGCATCTTGGGTAAGAACAGAGCTCATTCCAAGAGCTGACATCTCTGGTGATGCTGCTCGATCCCTGGGTCAGACTCCCATGGCCTGGGTGACAGCTCTGCCACGACGAGGGGACAAAAGCAGCAGCAATGATGTTTTTGATAGAA